CGTGCTTCACCCATTTGCCACAACTAGTCTATGTGAATGTGCATTCGCATTACTCCAATGCGAAAAATGTATTGTTGCAGACTTGAAGCTGGACCAGATATGAGATCGCAGCTTTCCCCAATAACACCAAACATCGAAGAATTCAGGGCTGCATGTGAGAAACACTTTCAATCCACACATTAGGGATTAATCTACGTTGTTTTCTCTACCTAACAGTAATTAACACCCATGTTTATTCAGTGCACAATAATGAAGGATTTCAGGACACAGCGTTATTCTCATCTTATTAAAGCCGACTCTTCTGGTTAACAATATCTCAGGGCGTCCGCCGTTCAATCTTCCAACAAAGAGAGGTCTGCGGCCCGAAAAGTTCGAGTACCCCTGTCTTAGACTAATGCAGGACATGCGCACCATCGTTATTTCTCACAGTAAACAATCACATCATCATCATCAATACACGTTAGCGGAGGGTGCGAGACACACCTCAGCTAATGTGCTGCAATTCAAAAAGATAAGAGATTAAACAATACAGACTAAAAAACTACAAGTGGGAACAGTACTAAATATCACATTATGCGTAGGGTTTGATGTTGTTGTTCGATGGGGAAGCTAAAGGGGCTCATACTCGCAACCCAAACACCACTGAAGTCGACTCCTTACTATGTCGCTTAGTGTATCCAACTACACTGGTTCATCATGTTTCAGTCCCCACTCCAGCAGTCGGGAAACAGCAACCAATGCCTAATTCGAAGTGAGGGACTTCATTCTCCTAGACCAAGTCATCGCTTTGCCTCCCCTCCTCTTCTTTATCCAGACTCCGGTCGCGCGAACAACGTACGATGCGGGTGTCGGTGTGGTGGCATGCGCAACACGTATTTCAGCCACCGGGCGTGATATAATGCTGTTGAGCGGTTCGTTCGCCTCTTCTGCACCAAATACGCGACACCGAACTCGCTCATGGTTCCCCTGTTGTTCCCACCACACATGAGCTATGTTGAGGAGGCACCAGCCTGCTATGCCAGGTTTCGCAACTGCACAATAGTGTTGAACGGGCGGCTACGCTGTAAACTCTGTTCTTTAGATCGAGCGTACTGGCTCGCAGGCGCCACAGGTGGTGGAGATTGGCAATAGCGCCTCTAGATTTTATTATGCGGTTTGTGATCTCGTATTCAATTCTGTTGGCGCTGATATGGCTGCTTAAATACTTGTATTTCTCGACGATTTCTAACTGATCACCACCAATGGTCAGCACAAAGGTTGCTCCCTGTCAAGCTTGACGAAGCACTTGACATTTCGACAGTGCAAATCATAGCCGGAAACGGCTAGCAACCAGAGCTAAATTGTCCAATACCACTTGCCACGTTTGTGAACTGTCACAAATAAGGGCAATGTCGTCGGCATACCGCGAATACGTAATAGAATAATTTATCAGCTGTACACCGTAACGGCGCTTCGCTGTCGCCCGACCACCACTAGTCGCGCGCGGTCTGAGTATACCTTGAGGATATCCATGCCTACAAAACCCTCCTCCTCGCGCACCTGGCTTTCATGAGTGCCAGTCAGTCTGTGGAGAACGACATACGCAAGTAACAGAGTCAATCGAAATCAGATTGATTCCTCTGACTGCCTTATTCGGAACGGGAGCCTCCCTTCAAAATTACAACTATTACCGAGCTCCTCCAGTTTGCCGGGACAGTCTCCTTCCTCCATAGCTTCACTAATAGCTTTTGTTAATCGTCCAATAGAGCAGGTCCTCTAAATTTGAAGAGGGCTGGATGAAGTCCATCTTCACCAACGGCCTTGTTCAATATCAGCCATATGATCTCACTTTCGACTTCTGCGCTTGTGGGTGGATCCATGCGAACTGTCCAGGGACTAAGACGCGTTCATTGGCCGAAGGAAAAGCGGGCGATTCTGTCTAAATAAACTGCTTCTCATAATGTTCGGCCCAACACTCCAGGCGCTTTGACAAGCTGTGTATCGGCTGTCCACTCTCGTCGCACATGGTCTCGCTAACATCAGATTTATTGCTGTCCGCTTCTCGTACCAAACGGAATTACTTTCGATAGTTACTAAGGGTAGCGGCTGTCGCCATCTCCGGTGCGCGATGAGACCATCAGACTTCGCGGTCTCCCATCAGGTTAACACGCAGTTTCGCCCTTAGAACTTCGCTTCCAGCCGGAACACGTCGGCGTGCACCCAGTAGTTCTAGACAATGGATGAAGATCCAATGTGCCGGTTGGCAATTTGGTTCATGGCATGATGAAATGCCTGCTGCTAATTAGATCTAGCGGTTATGTGACCAGTTATCTTCAGCTGTCTTCAGTGGGCGTTTACTCAATCCTTACGCCAGTGTACTTTGATACGCATTCAGAACACCTTGTTTCACCAGTTGGCTGCTGCCTGTGCGCTCATAGCGACGTTGCGGACGTCCACCGAAATCCACCCGGAGGTCGGCGCAAACAAGTACGTGGTCAGGGTCCACGCTCGGGCTCCAAATCGAGCGACAGCTTTAAACTCATCCTCCCTAGTGGTAACTGGTCACGATAGATTTGCATCCTTGGCTGGCTCGAGGATGGTGGGCGGGTGCTGTGTCCGAATTTAGTGCTCGCGAATAATAGAGGAACATCTTCACACTGGTATCTCAATCGTTCACCGTTATCATTTCGACAGCCTACACCGTATTGGCCGACCAGATGCAAGTCCTCAGTGAACAGTGGCGTTCAAATCATCAACAAGCACCACAGTTTCTGTACTTTTCCTGTAACGAGGGAGTACGTTCACTTGGTGATGGAAGTCGTCTTTTGCCGAGTCAGCACTACAATTTGTGGGCGCATGGACCGTGGTGACAAACAAGCACTATTTGTCTGCGCGCTACTTCGTTTCTTTGAATGAGTCAGCCAGTCTGACAGCGCACATCTGTCTCTTCATTTAGATCCAATCGATCAAGGCAGATTCAGCCCGGAGGCTAAGAGCAATACCCACACCGGCTTGACCGACATTCGAAGCCGCGTCATCTCCGGACAGGCGCAATGAGATAGTACCGCCAGCGTCGACGTTGGGGATCGCAGCGTAATCACAGAACTCGAATCTTGAGGGCGCGTTTCTGATAAGTAGCAGATGTCAATAGATAGTTTCCCTAGTGTTCTGGCTAGTGCCGCCTGTTGGCCAATCTGCAACAAAGTGCACACCTTGTGGCATGCTAATCTTAGCGGGGGGTCGAGAACTCCAAAGCGAAGCGGATGAACTGGCGTCCGTTTGACTGGACATGAACTTGCCGACTGAACCAGTTACGCCCTGAAACAAGATGGGGAAGGGCCAAGAACTTGAGGTTTGAAAACACGGAAGATAAATGTGGAGTTGGAACGAGACGATAAGGATAACAATGCGCGAGAGAGGGAATATGAAGACAGGAAGGCTTGAGCAGTAGCTTTCAAACCCCTATCCACTCTTCTGGATACAGCAGATAGGGCGCCGTTGATTATCCTCTGCGACGGCCAAGGCACTAAGAAATTGTTTGTATGCGAGGTCATTGTATTGGGTATGAGGACACCGCCAGGTTGCCCAGGCCTAGCAAGAGAACGATTAGGGTTCTCAACCAAACCGTTTGGTCTAAAACTTGACTGCAAAGGAACGGGCTTGTTGCACTGGGCTATACATGATCCCTTTTATGGATCAAGGAGCCACCGCCACTTCAACTCCCAACCTGGAGGACCAGGCGGCTGAGTTTGTCTGGCCTCTAACCATAGACCAATCTGGTATGAGTTGATGTGAAGGTGCAAAAGCAGCACCCAGCATAGCGCAAATGATCACTGAGGCACACAAACCATCGCACCACGTTAAGGTCCAGTCTCTTCGTGCTCACAAACGTAATCACTTGCTGTTTTAAATGCCACCACCCACCTCGAGTCACTTAGTCCGTCACCGATGATGTGCGAATCCACTAAAACCTAATTGCCTTTGACTGTGAATACTTGTGTAGGTCTGTTATGGCAAAGGAGTATACAGTTTTTTCGCAATCCGGGATTGTGTATAGCTTGTCCTCAAGTATCTCACCACATGACTACCGTCATACTCCAATTCTTACTCGGCGACATATCGCATCGTGTACGGAGCTCTTGAATCGATTACTATATGTGAGTGCCTCGAGCGAGTCTCCTTTATGATGAGGCAGCTGTCTAGTACAATCTAACTTCACGACTGGCACAAATGCTCCAATTTTTTCTGCACCGCTTTATTATCGTCATGCTAACCGGTATGGGATTGTGCGTAGTTTTGCTAACCACACTAGGAGTGAAGACTGATTCTTTTTCATGTTTTGCGTACCTTTTTACGCAGTAGATCTCAGTGTGCAGTTTTATCAGATCGGTAAGCAGTTCCCACCTAAACTATCTCTACTGTCCTTCCAGTTTGATATGAACTGTTTTTCGAAACATTTTCTTTCGATGCCATAGTGTCTTAACATCAGTTGCAGCAGGAATGGACTGAACATTGGTGTGTATGGTAATTTCTGGCACAGTCCTGCTTCATTGATCAGTGGACAAATGCCAATCCCCTGGTCCTTTTAATTGGTGCTGGGGTGACACATCCTTTTGATACCGACCCTTTTCGTGCACCGTTGATGAAGTCTCACTGTATTCCTATCGGGCCTTTGAATCAACGACTGGTTAGTGACTAATCGTCCTCATCTAGCTATGCTCATTTTGGAACTGTTCCAGCCCACTTAAAACCATGGCTGACTCACCGACCTACAGCTTCATGTCGCATTAGTCATGGTGACATTTCAAAGCTGCCTTATTCACCGCACAAGGTAGAGGGAATTGGTGAAAATGAGATACTGGTGTTTCTCCCTTCTTCTTTCTCCATCTGACTCCCTCACTCCCCTCTCGATCCCCACTATTAGCCTCTCATTCGTGGTCTTCAACCTACGGGATGTTTACTCTCTTCCTCGGCATTTGTAACTCATCCTTATGTCGTTTGTTTTGTTCTCTCGGACTCAGACCCTTCATCAGAGCTTCATTCGGACCACTCTTTCCACTGTGACGACTCCTACGCGGCTAGGAGCACCTCTTCTTTAACCCAAGAGGTTCAGCTGCAATCTGTGGAATCCGCGTTTGTTCGCCCTGGCGTCTCACTGCCACCCGCCTTGGCTTCACAATTTCACCCGCCAACACAAATGGTGTTATCGGCGCCTTCGCTTAGTCCACAGTCTCCGGATCACAGTGAGACAATCGATTTGGTTCATTCACTTCGGAAAACCTGTCCGGACGATGATATTCCGGTATGTTACTTTTCTTCTCTTATTTTCTGAACGCTACTATTTACGTTTCGTTCACTTTGGCAATCGAATTAGGGGCTCTCGATATCATTTCACCTATGATGTGCACCGTACACTATTCCTAATTTTTCTTTTGTTTAGACTGAACCGCACACATCAGGTGTGCTCTGCGGTGTCCTCTGTGGCTTCCATTTGAACAAAAGTCTTTGCCTAACTGTTTTTATTCTTATATATATATATATATATATATATATATATATATATATATATTTTATACACTTGGCATAGTGCCACAACGTATAGAAAATACAATAAACGAACGAAGGGAGTGGGGAAAGTCGGTGTTCATGGGAATAGTGAGTCACAGCAAGTCCCTTATTGCGAACGGTTTCTTACCATATCCAAAAGTGTTTCCAGCCATGTGTGTTCCGGATCCCTCACACTCCAGCCAGAGAACCGAGATCGCCTTCGCTTTCGGCCGACTGCTGCGCGCGCGAAGAGAGCACGGTGAGGTAAGCGACTAGGCATGCGAAGAACATGCCCAAGGCACTGAAGTCTGCACAGTGAAATTATGCTGCTCAGTGGCCGGCAGTTTGCCGTCGAACATCTTCATTACTAGTGTGATGTTACCACCGTTCACCAGCAATGTTCCGAAGGCAACGGTGATCAACAACAGGCAGCCTCTCAATGTCCTTTGCGCGAACAGGCCAAGCCTCGCAGCCAAAAGACAGAATCGCTCTCACTCTGGTATTGTAAATTCGGTCCTTCAGATCTAGACTTTGCGTCGACGCCAGAGGTGGCGGAGATTTGCAAAAGCAACCCGAACCTTGGAGACGCGCAAGGAGACCTCAATCGTTAAAACATTAGCGCTGAGCCAGCTTCCGAGATAAACTAACTTGTCCACCACTTCCAATGAATGGCCTAGAATGTTAAAGTCAAGAGCAGCGCCTAGCCAGTCCTGCAGGAGAATCTTGCGAAGGTCATTCCAAACTAGGAGACAGACATCTCCTACCTACACATGACATTTTGGGCGGCCTGTGAGAAATCGCAGATTACCGCGATGTCGTTTGCGTACTCCAAATCCCGAAGTCAGTCTCCTGAAGGCAGCTCGACGCCGCTGGGTCCGCAGTTCTCCAGAGCACTCTGCAAGATTTCCTCCATAGCGAAATTGAACAAGAAGGGGGAAGCTTGGCAACCCTGTCTCACACCACTGGTGATACTAAAGGGAGGCAAAAATCCGCCGTACACCCGCACTTGGCCCGATGTTTGAGAGTAGATGGCTTGAATTAAGCTGACATACTTCTCAGTGGACAACTCTGTCAGCTGACAGCTCTGTCGACCGAGTCAAACGCAGCTTGTATGTCTAAGAGGACAACGATCGTTGACCGGCCAAATGTTTGACGACGTTCGAGTATTTGGCGGAGTGTAAAATGTGATCGATGCAACTCCGACCTGAGCGAAACCCAGCTTGCTATATGGTAACGGACTACGCATCCTTTGGGCTCTCAAACGTAGCTCCGGCACATAGTCTGAAGAGGTTGCCACTCGCATCTTCGTTTCCATCATTTGATCAGTGCTAGAGTACGGTTTGCCCACCTACGTTCCGATTACTCGAATCGAGGCAAAGAAGATGCAACGGGTCCAATACGTTGCTACCAGGCTGATCCCGAGTTTACGTGGCTTTGGGTATGAAGATCGGTGCGAGAGACTAAGACCCTACATCTTGTCCTACCGTCGGGTGCGAGTCAACCTCATTATGACCTACCGTATTCTACATCTCCGTGATTTCCCCATGCTGAGGCCAATGCTGTACTTACGAGGGGCATGCAGCATACGCGGACACAGATACAAACTTGTGGTGCAGCGTGTGAAGCGAGTTCCCCACCCACTGTGCTTCGAACGGAGAGTGGTAAGTATTTGGAACAGTTTGCCTGAACATATGACGGAGGCCACATCTGTGCAGCAGTTCAAAACGCTGTTGGATTTATATTTTACCACTATTCGATTCAGAGAACGATTGCACACTTAGGATGACATCTCGCATTTGCGATTCCTGCAATACCGTGAGTCAGATATTTTAAATATTACATGAGAACGATAACGATATTGACCGGTGCCCATTTTTATAACGTTTTTCACCATATTTCCAAAGAGTCGTACAGTATTCATTTCTACTTGCTCTCTAGTACAATATTCAGTATTCACGTATGCCGTATTCGCTTACCAGGCTGCGCCTCCATCAAAGCAGAACCGCGAGCACCTTGGAAGCACCACAGATGAGACTAATCCCTTTGTGGTTGGCGCAGTCAGTTCGGGTACCCTTTTTGAAGATGGGCACGATATCCTCTAGACTCTAATCGGATTCGCCGGCGCGACATCACTCTTGCCCTGAAGGGTAGAGTGTACAATGCAGCAGTACGTTCGACCCTACTGTACGGTTGTGAAACCTGGCCGCTTAAAGCAGCGAACCTGAAGAGGCTAGTTACGTTCGACCACCGGTGCCTCCGTAATTTAGCTCACATCTGGTGGGAACACCGCGTGAGCAACGAGCGTGTTCGACGCCTTGTTTGCGGCACAGAAAAAGGAACTGAATCGCTCAGCACCGTTATTTCTCGCATCAGGCTCCGATGGCTCGGCCACGTGTTACGCATGCCAGCCCACCGACTTCCGCGACGTGTGTTGTTTGCGCGCCCGGGGGGGGGGGTGGATGGAAGAAGAGGAGGGGTGGCCAAGCGATGACTTGGTCGAGAGGAATGAAGGCCCTCACTTCTGAGCTGGCCTCGGTTGGAGCGTCTCGGCTCCCTGGTTGGGGTCCAAAAAACGATGAACACGTTTGGTTGGACACACTTGCTGATATGGGTAGGAGCTGACCTCAGTGGCGTTCGTGCTGTGAGTTTCTTTGTCCCACCCCATCCCTCTTAGCCTCCCTCTCCAACCACGATCTCATCATTTAGCCTTATATAATTTTGCATAATAATATTTTTGGGTGCACAGCAGCCGGCTGGTAGCTTACCGGAACGATGCCCATCCGCTACCGGTAGCTCAGCCAGCTTGCACCAGTTGCTTTTTTCTCCTTTTTTCTATGTATTGCGGCACAGTAGCTGAGGTGTTTCCCACCTCTAGCTAACGTGTATGATGATGATGAATCGGATTGGATAACTTGAGTGACTCAGATTTCCTGGATGAGAAAAGTTCACTCCTGAATATGTGATGGGCCGCCATCTTTGAAAGAGCCGGAGGAGTTTCATCTGGGCCAGGAGCTTTGTAGCGTTTTAAGAGGCGGAGCTCGTGGGCAGCCTCAGCGTCGGATCGTGGGTAAACGTCTACACACCGTGGAGCACTCCAGGATGGGAACTCATTGGTGCTGCTGGCCAATTAAACTGCTGTTCAACATGCTCGAACCAATGCTCGAGTCGGTGTTTTTGACAGTGGATTGCTTATGCATAAAACTTCGCTTACATTCGGCTTTTCGCCGCCAGTAGATCGGTTCAGGATGAAAGCTTACGGAAATTCGCTGAGCTGACCTCTTGCTCCATCTCAATGACCCGCTGCGTCCAGTTGGCCTCACGATCTTCTCGGAGATAGCTGTTTGAGTTCAGCGTCAGTAGTCTTGCGTAGTGAATGGCATTTAGCACTAGCAGGAATTCCTCGACGGTTTTCCAGAAGTTGGTGGGATCGTGCAGAAATCCAATGGTTGACAGGACTACTGCTGAAACCACTGACTATGGTTGCAGAGTTGTACATGGTGGCGCGGACGTGTGTCCAGTGTGTTTCAATGTCTGCGCATGAGGCAGTCTTTAGTCGTTAGGCCAAGGCATTCTGAAGTGCGTAGAGAACGTTTGTGGCAGAAAGCTCAGCTACGTCAAGCCGTTTCTGGCGACGCTGCATGGAGCCACCAAAACGTATCACGATCTTGGCATACCAGCGCGTGATCCGAAGTGAGATAAGTACTGAAGACTGATTTGCAATGCTGTATGTAGTCTTGCCAGCGATAGCTAATGGCGATGTGATCAATTTGTGTCCACGGCTGACCAGGTGACGGAGGTCTCCAGCTGGCGCATTGGCGCCAGAATCCCCGAAAGCTAGTGCTCGACAGAAAGAGGCCGTGCTCTACACAAAACTGAACTAATCGATCACCGTTGTCTGTTCTACGAGTGCCGTGACCGTGTTGACCACCGAGTTCACCTTCGCCAACTTCAAGTCTACCTACTTGCGCGTTCGTCGCCGGCGAGCACCACGATGTCGGTACGATGCTTTTTACGGAGAAGATCGGCAAGTTTATCATAGAGCTTGTCTTTAACTGACTTCGGGCTGCAGTCTATGGGAGCATACGCTGCGGCAATGAATAGACAGCGTCTCCTGACTTCGCGCCTGGACAGTCGCACTGTGGTTTCTAGTGGGATCGCGCATAGTCGACTGTTGACAAAGATCCAATCTAGTAGCGCGGCCTCTGCACGTGTTCTCAACACAATCCCCACGCCAGCATAACCAGCAGCTTCGGCGGTTGAGTCTCTAGATAGGCGCAAAGTGAAAATGCTGGTGGAATTCGCAGACGGTGAAACTAGTCGCAGCGTCACGCTAGAGTCCTGTAACCGGGTCTCGCCGAAACAGCAGATATCAATGGTCATAGTTTCTAGAGTGCGCGAAAGGGCTGCCTGTGATCCAATCTACATCAGCGTCCGCACATTGAATTGGGAACGGGGCACTAAAAATGGCTTATCAATACGAGTTGGCACACCCTCAGACTTAAGCTCCTGATCCAGAAGGCAAGAACGTTCGCTCAAGGCGGCACGGTGTTGTGAACTCGAAAACGGATAGGAAGACCAATAATGGCGGGATTGAACAAACCTGGAATGAATTGCTTAAACGGTCATGCGGTAAAACGTGGTCTGGCAGGTTCAACCGCCAGCACCTCGGCCGAGGAGAGCAGTTCGAGGGAGTGAGAGCAGATAGAGCGAGAGCGGAGGGAACGAACGAAGATTTGTTGAGACATGGATCCGTAG